AAGGACATTCAGCCTCATGGAAGTTACATCTATGCCTTCAACATAGCAGCCTCGCTCTTGGCTATTCATTCTGAGTTCCCAGTCACCACCTGGCTATTGTTCACCCAATCTCAGGATCTTTCTAAACATCGCTTCTCCCAGAAAAGTCTTCTCTGGTCTCCAGGTCCTGGCTGGCCATGGGCTTCCTGCCCCAGCACTTACCTCCCAGGGCAGCACCCCACCACCAGACCGCTCACCCACTGAGGTCAAGCAGCAGGTCTCACTAGTCTGCTGCAGCCCCCAGACCCCAGCACAGCAAGGAACATGTAAATGTTCTCAGAAGCACACTGGCAGTGCAGGAGCTAATGAAGCTATTCTCCAACCCCTGCCTCTGTGTCCCACAAGGACTAAGTTTTGGGTGGGGTGGGGAAGAATCACAATGGGCTTTTGCCATAAAATGATGTTTATGTGTTTTCCTTGCAAACTTTCTGTCTCTGAAGTTCAAATCTAAGGTCTGGAGATAGGAATAGAAGGTTAAAGGCAGAATAGCACCCAAGTGGTGCTCTGTGCTAAACTTCATAGGAATCGGCACTCTCTACCTCAGAGGGCAGCAAGCTGGCTCTCAACTCTATGCCGAGTTCCCAGCAGGGATGTGTGCCTGCTCTGACTGAGAAAGGGAGCCACCTTCAAATTGCTCAGATAACTAACTAGAGAATAGTATTGTTAAGACTCAAAAAGAATTCAACTTACTTTAAAGAACCTGCAGAGCCTTTAAATACTCTTTAGATTATTGCTTTTCTGTCCTAGAGTTGTGATGAGGTAAAATACTGTTTCTCCAGTCTCATGGGAGGAAATTTACATGGGAAATAATCTTTTCTCCATGATTAAAACATTTTTGTTTCTATAATGTACAATAGAGGTGATAATGATGCAGTGAATTCTTTTAAATTCTCCCAGATTAATCTTTAAACTTCCAGAATAAACTGGCCACCTCCCCTCCCCTCCTCCTGCCCCCTGCTCCCTCCTTCCCTGACCTCTCTTCTCTCCTTCTTTCTTATTTGTCCCCAAATCTGCTTTCCCCCCTCGTTTGAAACCTCTCTCTTGAAGACTTCACACTAAAGATGCATAAAACTCTGTGTCTGCCCCAGCTCTTCCTATGGACTCTGGCAACTGTGAACTAAAATAAAATGTTAAGCCCCCACCCAGCTGGCTAAATGTACCCCTCTTGGCCCAGGTGATCCCGGAAATAGCCTAAAGCTTAGGCTGGCCGTTAGCAGGGCCGTCAGACACACACGCTGCATGCCTTGTTGTGTCCCTTCCTTCTTGGACACGTCCTTTGCAACCTATTAACAAACAGCAAAGCTCCAACCACACCTGCAGCTCACTGGTTTACTTAACAGATCATGTATGTTGAGTGAACATTTGGTGATGTGTCTCTGATTAACACACAAACCTTAAAACATCCCACACCTTTAGACAAAGCTTCATTTCTTTAACCAATTACAAATCGAAGAATCTTTAAACCTATCTGTAACCTGTAATTCCCCACTGTGAGCTGTCTTGCTTTTTCGGGACAAACCAGTGTACATCATGTATTGATTTATGACTTTAATGTCATTCCTGCCTCCCTATCATATGTACAATCAAACTGTAACTCCACCCAAGAGACCACTTGCTCAAGGCTTCGTGGGTGTGGCTCTCCAGGCCATGGTCATACATATTTGGCTCAGAATAAACCTCTTTAAATTGTTTTATGGACTTTGAGTTCTTCCAAGTCTGGCTAGTTTGGAAGGTACTAACAGACTTGGGCTGGCTTGCTGTTCAGACCTGCAATTAATGTCCAGACTTCTTTGTCAAAGGAAGTCATCCCTTCAGTGGGAGAGATTTTCCTTTAAATATCGTCAAAGATTACCTTTTCTCCCAAGGGTCAATTAACTTAAAGAAGTTACTAAAGTTCAACAGAAATACACATAAGCTGTAACTGAAGTCCACTTCATTGGTGAATTCATTTATTTACACATTTGTATATATTCTCCATATGTGCATTTTGCAAAGACTTCATCCTCAGGGACTCTAATAGGAGGGCTGAGACCTGCACCTAAGTGCTTTCAATACAAAGAAGGCAGTGATAGGTGCCTAAGAAATAAATGAACACAGGGCTAGGAGCTTCTGACATGGGCTTGAAAGGCCTCTGTTGCAAAGCAGAGCAATTGTAGCAAAATACTTGCTTTCCTTTGCATTATCCAGGGGCCTCATTAACCAGAGTTCACTGAGTAACAGTGCAAGCCCTTTTGAAGCTTTTATCTTAAAGGCTTAGCCTTGGGAAATGAACATGATGAGTGGTGCACAGGGAAAACGAGAGAAGTAGGAGGGGTCCCTGAGTTTGGAACACACTAATAATGCCCAAGGTAGTCTTCCTGTGCTCAAGCCTGTGGTCATGAGTACATTGCAAAAATATGTCATCTTTCCTCTAAAACAAGGGTTGCTTAGTGATGGGGGTTCCTCTTATAATCCCAACTGGATGGGGAGGCAGGATCGTAAAGTGTATGAAGGCATGTCCTTCTGAGTTCAAAAGGACCTGGGTTCATGTCTCAGCTCTGGCTTTTGGTCACTTTTATCACTTCATCCTGCTGAACTTCAAAAAACTCATCTGCCAAGGGAGGACCAGAGTAAGTACTGATAAAGAAAATGGATGTGAAGTGACTAACTTGGTGTGTGGCACAGGTTTAAGTGCTCAGGTGTCAGTCCCAGCTAACAGCCATAGTAAGGGCTGTGACAAGGACACACAAGACTCAGAGAATGAAACAGGAGGCTTTCTGTGGCCATATGAAAGGAATCAGGACCATTTCATTTGGAGAAGAAAGACATGAACAATTCCCTTTAACTTAACACTTGTACATAAAAGTAATGAATGTTCATGGTAAAAAAAAAAAAAAGTAAGAAAGTAATATAAGCTGAAATAAACATAAATTATGAAACTTAGCACCAATCAGATATAGCTCAATTTTTGTGAATATACTTTCTTTGATCATTCTTCACATATACACAAATATTTTTAAACAAAAATGGATGTATATTGTAATGCTGTTTTGTATCCTTTTTTTATTGCTTTATGGTGGTTACCTTTCTATACCAACTAATAAACATTACTGTCATCATTTAACTGGTTAAAGAGTAATTCAATAATGCAGATGTAACAAAATTTGTTGAACCAATTTCTTACTATAGCCATTATTCAAGTTGTGAGGAAGGGGCCATGGGCCTCAGGCTCAACCTGATTGGGCCGTTATGGTTCCATCTCAGAAAGATCCTATGTTCTCTGGACTTCGTCTTTATCATCTTTAAAATAAGAATTATGCCCTCCAATGCTCAAGACTACTCTACATTAAATGAATTGATATAAATGTGTTTCTTAAATAGTAAAATGCTATGTGAATATTTATGTTCATCCAATAAGCAGCTTATTGGATGAGCAGATGCTAAACAGTCATTTTCCTCCACTGAGTCAAAACAAGAAGTGTGATTATCATGGTATTGATCAAATTGGGTTAAATGAAAAGCACATTCTTGAGGCAGGCATGAAAGGTGAGTTAGCTGCTTTGGGTCTGTTCTCAATTCCTGATGGGAAAAACCAGACGGCAGCCCTGGTATAAACTCTGTCCACTTTCTTTATGAGAACAAATGTCCAGAAGAGGTAAGTGCCACGTCTCTGATGCTGGGGATAGGCCCCTTCCTGCCTCCAAATCCAAGTCGATCCATCTTTGCAATACTTTATAATGTGTTCATGACCAGTCAGCTATTAAATGCCCACCTTGTGTTTGATCTTGAAGAGTTTGCTAAAGAAAGGAAGTCTAGCTGGCTTGGAAGATACTAACAGGCTTAGTTTTGATACTTTTAGAACATGCCAAAGCCTCCACTTCTCTAACTTCTAACCACCAAAGCACTGGAAACAAATCCTTCTCTTTAAAACATTAGTAAATTGAAACTCTGAAGTAGAAGCTCATCTCATTTATGGAGCTGAGATAGATCCCAGAAATTTCTACAATCTTATGTTTCCCACAAATTACTCTATCATTTGCATTATTTATACAGTGATAGAAGGGAGGTTTGGGTGGCTTGTCTGAAATTGTACTTCTCTTTCTCTCGATACAGACCACTTTCAAGTATATGTCAGGGGCAAGAAAATATTCCCAGTGACTAGGTCGGCTGTTTTATGCTCACCATTCATTACAACCACCTGGGAAGATTTTGGAAAACAAAACAAAACACTACAAATGACTGGCTAATCCCCCAAAGTTAAGTTTCAGTTATTTTAGGGATAATTTTTAAACGCCTCAGAATCAGGTGATTCTGGCAAAATATGTAGCCAGAGTCAAGAAACACTGATCGGGGCCCCAAGGGGCTCATGAAGAGCTAACATGCTCACAATTCACATGGTCTTCTACTCTCATTTTGCCTCTGACCAAAACCACTGAAATGTACGCCTTTAACCTCCTCTTCCCCCCAAACAAGACCTTGAATGGAAAAAATATAATAAAAGGAACCTATCTCCAGGAAAACAGGAGAGATGCTATATGCTCCCTAATGGAGGAATTCTCCAGTAAAGTATGGTAAATCTGTTCAATGCAATATCATGTAGCAAATTTAAATGGTTATTATGAAGAATCTATAGCAATGTGAACAAAAAGTAGGCTGTAATAAAAGCAATGGATAAACTTGTCCATAGTACCTGAACATAACTATGAAAATTATAAGTACAAACACAGTATTTCACAAAAAATGGAATGGAAAAATCCTTCCAAAAATGTCAGTAGAGGTTATTTGGGTGGTGGTTTTTGCTTTCTTCAACTTTTTTGGATACTTTCTTGGCATTTTTAAAACCTCTCATATCATGATAGAAAAAACATCTACAATAGAACAAAATAAATTTACTTTTCGAAAATTACACCTCTGACCATGAAGTGGTAATCAAGGCACAGCTCACAGTAACAAATTAACAAAGGAAAGGTGAAAATCCTCACCTGAACGTCTGTCTCTCAGCTGCCTGGGCTTCTGCTCCTCTCTTTCCTGTGTTTCTCCTCCAAGTAACTCAGATTGATCATTTAAAATAATAAGTGAAACAGTAAATTGTGTTTTGTGAACAGCGTCAGCCAGTACCCAGACGGTCACAGAGTGTCAGCAGGTCACCGGCGCTCTGCAGAAGTGGCCTCGATGTGGAGGCTGGCTTCCTTCTGAAGGAGGAGGGGGCAGATTTCCTGCTAGAGACTACCTCAAAAAGGAAGAAACTTGAAATTGCCCTGCCCTTCTAAACACTGATTTTTGGCAGCGTCTTCCAAAAGAGATGAAGTGAACAGGATGGGTTAGGGGTTTTATGTGGCTTTTAGTTCTCCCAAATGGTTTCGTTTCCATGGCAGCAGCAAGAGCAACACTGCCTGATGCAGCACTTCGGAGCTGCTGAGAGCACGTCCATCACCCACTGGCTCTCCAGCTTGCTTCTGCTCTCTGGTAGAAGCTCCTCCGTGCTGCTGGAAATGCTCTGTCAAAGTCACCACAGCCTCCTTGCCACTCCTTTCTCAGTCCTCGTCTTCCCCCTGCCCTTGTATGCACGGTTAAATATGCCATGTTCTCATGTTCTCAGTCATTTGGAAGCTGAAAGAGTATTTCGTAGAAGTAGAGACTAGAAGAGTGGTTACTAGAGGCTGGGAAGGGTTGGGGTCAGGGGGAGATAGCCAGAGGTTAGTTAACAAATACAAAATTACAGCTACATAGGAGTAGTAAGTTCTGGTGTTCCATAGCACTTTAGGGTGACTATGACGAATAACAATTTACTGTATAGTTTCAAATAGCTAGAAGAGTGAATTTTGAATGTTCTCAACATACAGAAATGGTAAATGCCTGAGGTGACGGACATGCTAAATGCCCTGATTTGATCTTCGCACATTGTATACATGTATTGAAATGTTACACTGTACCCCATAAACATGTGTAATTATTATGTGTCAAATAAAAAAAATTTCAATAAAAAATAAAATATTGGAAAATTGAAAAAAGGAATAAAATACTTAGGAGTTACCTTTGCCAGGAAGGTGAAAGACATGTAAACTGAAAACTACAAAATGTTGCTAAAAGAAACCAAGGAGGACAAAAATAAATGGAGAGCTATCCCCTATTCATGGATTAGAAGACTTAATATCGTTAAGATATCAATACCAGCCTTCCCCCCAATTCCTTCAGCACCACTGAAATAAATTCTTTAAAACCTTAATATGTCTAAGTTTATCATGTAGTGGGGAAATAAAAGCTGTTGTTTAATTAATGTTTTAGGTTTGCAAGATGATAAGACTTCTGGAGCTGGATGATGGTGGTGGTAGCACAGCACTGTGAATATAATCAATGCCACTGCCCAGTACACTTAAAAACAGTTAAGTCATATGTAACATGAATTTTATGTCATGCATATTTAACTCCAATTTTTAAAAATAATTTAGAAAAATTAATTAAGAGAAGTCTGAAAAAAGGAAAGAGAATGCTCAGTAACATCCTAATTGTCTTTACGTTTCTGCTCTTGCTATTCTATAATCATCTTTTTAAAGAGTAAATCAGTTCCTGTCATCCCTCTACTCAAATCCCTGCAATGGCTCCCCAACATTCTTGGAATAAAAATCTTCATCCTGGTCTACAAAGGCCCAGTGTGATTAACTCTTCCAATAGACAAGGACACCTCACTGCTATTCCTGGTCCCTCTGCCCAATATCTTCACCCCCTGCCTCCCTAGTGAAGTGCCACATCCTCAGACTCAACTTTCCTGGGCTCCCTTTCCAAAAGAGATCCCTCTCACACACCCTCCACCACCTGCCCTGCTCTATTTTGTTTTATAGTGCTGACCACTGTCGCTACTTCTTGTAATAGTATATGTTTGTTTGTAAATTGTTGAACCCCTATGTTATACTTTTGTATCAACTTCTCAGACTCCTTAGGGTCTAGGATAGAATGTGGCCAGGTAGGGATAGTTGGCAAAGCCTGTAGCTTCTCTGGTCTTCCCACACCCCACATTCCCAGTCCCTCACACACTCTCAGGAGCCTCTCACTGAGGCAGCTGATTTTTATGGAGACTAGACATAAGGGCTGGCTCTTGGCCATCTCTAGAAGGTAGGGCTACATAAATTACAAGCTGCAATTCACCTTGGGAAGAAGCCACAGGACCTGGGGACACTTGGTTGGGGCATTGTCAGGTCTCCAGAGCACAGTACAGCCAGAGAAGGCAGGTGCATGCCACCTAGTCCCACAGACTCCCAGAACCCATGGGACAGGAAGAGGATGGTCAAGGACCACAGAGGGGTCCTACAAAGCATGGCCACAGGGTGGCAGTTCCTCATGACCAAGTCTATGAGTAGTTCTGCCTTCATGGTCCAGACCCAGGCTCCCTTTGGGGTTCCTTTCCCCTTGGTTGCCCTTCTGCCTCCTCCACTCGCCAACCAGCTGTGCTATTTGTTTCTTTCCAAAAATAAAAAGCACTATTTTGAGATCCAAGAGAAGCACAAAATGGTAAACAATGAGAAATTTATTTTTATTGGATAGAAGTCACAAAATGCTTTCTTAAAATAAACAAGGAAGGCTTTGTTTGTTTCACTGTTGGTTGTTTGTTGGAACTGGAACAGACTTTAGCAATCCCTGCGTTCAATCCCTTCATGGTGCCTGTAAGGAAACAGAGGCTCAGACCTGTAAGCAGCTCAGTCATGGCACACAGACAGTCAATGTCACACCCAGCCTGGAGCCTAGGCTAGAGCTCAGAAAGCTTCCTAACATTGCCAACACCACCTACCTTCTCACTGTGCTCCTGGCCTCTGCTACTCCAAAGGTCTTGGGATAGAAAGTTCTGGCCCTCACTGAGCACACACTTAAGGTCTCCTCCAATCCTGGAAACCACGGCTTCTAGCACCCTGCCCCATCCCATCTGAGCCTTGACTCTGGCTTGTGCCAAGAACTAAACTTCACCCCATCAGTAGCTCCCACAAGTGCTCCAAATCTTAAAACTTGGAGGGAATGAAAAGTAGGTCTTCCTCAAAAGCCCAGATATGCTTGTCACTATGCACTGTCACTACTGTGACAAGAGGGAGGAGGCTTCTGGAGCCATTACATGTGTGTCCCCAAGCTGCCCAGCAACGGCCATCACCAGCACAATGCGATCCTCTCCCCTTCACTTTCTAGAACTGGGAGTGAGGGTGTGTGGGTCTCCATCATCTGCACTCAGCTGTGGAGAAGGGGTTAGGGCCAAGGTTGCTGCTCTGAGTACTAGTTTCTTCCTGGCTTGGGGACACTATTTTTAATATTTTATTAATCTAAATTCAGAGGGTACAAATATCATATTGCCATTCTCATCTTTAGGGAAAAAATGGCTAGAGAAAATATTTAACTCTATAATCACTCATTAGAGATTTTCATTCTCTTCCAATAAAAGTTCAATAAATTGACCAATGTCCATCTCATTAAAATAAATAAAGTAAAAGGAAATCAACCTTGTACTCCCAGAACTAATGCTCAAATATTAGGTTGTCAGGGGACAGAATATGACATGTTCTAAGAGTGTCAGAAACAACCTGGGAAACGTCTCCTCTCACCCCCGCCCCCTCTGAATCGATAAACCTCAGGAAAAGAGAAACTTCCTAGGCTTTCTTTTATTTTTAAGACAGCCTGGGATCTCTAAGCTCTCTATAGGTGGTGACTTTACTAAGGAGCACCCATTAGACGCTCTTAGCCAGATGCTATGAAGAAACGCATTTTAGACAGATTTTCCAGGATGAAGAGTAAAGTTGATCATTTAGAGTAGAGAGAGAAAATATCAGTGACTTCCAAAAAAAAGATAATTATAAGGGTGCAGAGAAAGAAAACACAGCATGCGATTTTTTGCTCCTAGAAACTTTGAGAAAAGCATGGTGACACCTTCACTGTCTGTATGGCACAGAGAACTTCTCTGGGCCTCTGAGGGCTTGCAGCAGCCCGTGAGAGACTTTGCAGGAAATCTCAAAGTTTGTTCCTGGATGACCAAGTGAGTTTAGGAGAATTGGGGCCAACTTCTTGCTGACTACATGATTGTACCTACCACAGAGTCATTTACTTAGACTTTTAGAGAGGTAAGCTTGACTCTGGAGGGTATATTCTTGTAAACACAAACCTGTGGTTTCTTAAAAGATCAGAAACACTGTTAAATTTCTAGAGCATCAGAGAGTAGCCTGTTTTCATAACATGAGATAAAATACAAAGGAAGAAGTCAATGTGAGTCACATTTCTATTTAGGTCATTCAGAAAGGGGGAAGAATGGAAGTGAAACTTGAAAAGTCATGGAATTTAGAAAGCAGCAAACTTTAGGTGCAGGAAGGATAAAAAAGTAAAGAGATAAAAAAGTAAAGAGAATGATCTACTAGTGGGGTGAAGAGTGGCACCAAAGATACACCCATATCCTAATCCTGGATTCTGAAAATATCACCTGATTTGGCAAAAGCTGTGATTATTTAAGGATCTTGAGGGGGGGAGTTTATTTGGTATTATCCAGATGAGCCCCAAATGCTATCACATGTATCTTTGTAAGAGAGAGAGAGGATAGTCCAAGACCCACACAGAGGAGGAGGCTATGTGAAATGTAATGTGGCCACAAGCCAAGGAAAACCCAGAGTACTAGAGCTGAGAAAGGCAATGGAGGTTCCACCAGACTGGAGCCTCTGGGAGGAGTGTGGCTGTGCTTGATTTTGGATTTTTGCTCTGCAAAACTGTGTAAGAATGAATTTCTTTTGCTTTAATTTAGGCCACTGAGTTGACAGTTATTGTTATAGCATCCATAGGCTATACGTGGATTCATACACATCTACCTTGTCCAACCATGGGACCTAAAAATTTGGGAAGAAAGTGATACACTTGCTATAAGATATTCAATAAGTTTAACTGATTCAAATCGAGCTTGCATCCTTTCATTTTAGTTTGTTTTGATTTTTCAATCTTTCCATTTAATTCTCCTTTAAAAAAGAACAATTTAGCTTTCTAAGCAGTCAGCTTTCTGGAAAGGTGCTGATGCTGGGATGAGTGTCGATGGCCCCTCTAGTCCAAACAGATTGGGAAGGGGCATGTAGAGAAT